CTTTTTCATTCTTCAATATTTGAGTGAAATTTATAAATAAAAACACAATAAACGTCTCACCAATGAATGAAAAACTAATCGTATTTTGTTTGGTGGCTTTGAAAAGCGAAAGCAAATAGCGTTTACATCAATAATATGGATATAATTTAAATGTAATGATTGAAGAGATAAATCAACAAAAGGAATATATTTAGCAAATAATATATGAATATCTATCAAAACAAAGTTCAGTAAACGTTCAGAAATTGTCATCAATTGTATATAACAATTGAAGATTGCATTTAATTTAGCGTATTGTGGGCTAAGAAAACAATCATTTGTTAAATGAAGTCCTATCTGTAATCACTAAACCTAATAAAGGGGTCATATATTCAATGGATTCATACGACATCTAAATGACATTCATTTTGTTTTCCCTCAACGAAGAGGTATTTGCTTCACCACAGTATCTGTAAATCCTTTGATGAATTGTAAGCCAAATATAGATATATCGTTCAATGAGACAATAACTAACAATTAGTCAAAAACACAAACTCTTTGCAAACACTTTTTATACATAGAAATATAGAATTCTTTAAAACCAAAAGGCAGTTAGAAATGAAATATTGATTTTTGGCAAACAAAATATAGTGTATCATACTATAAATAGTATAAAAGAGTATATTTTTCTTTAAATAAATTTTTGACTCCTATTTCACGCTTCCATTCAATGATCCGATATATAAAAGCGGATAACATTTCTCAGCGATTCTGTGAGCACTCCATAAGTTGACACTCAATACACATAATAAGAGTAACTGTTTGTTGGATTTGGCGATTGACTGATTACTATGAAAACAAAACCAAAAATAATAGTGAAAAAACTTTCTTTTATTTTTGCAACAAATTTTATTATCATTTTGTTTATACATTCTGTATATATTTATTGAATTATTTTCTGCATTTATTGTTTTGACTCCGTTTTATTTAATAAACAATATGTTATGTTTTATAAGTTTTGCTATTAACAAAGTGGAGAAAAAATATTTGTTAAATCAGATAAACATCTAAATTGCAGACAAAGTCCAATCGTTTTATCAGAAAAACTTTTATTTGGTGTGACGGCCGACCTCTCCATACGATGTGTCCGTATCTCTAGCATTCATCTCTTCATATTTAGTTAGTCTTGCTTTTGGACAGTAGTTATAAAACAACATCACTTGTGTCACAAAGATTTCTCGATACGATATAATCCATAAGTGCTGTGTATAGGAAGGCGTACTCTTCCTATAGGTGGAGGAGAGAGACAAACAAATTGTTAACAAAAAATAAATTTTATATTTAACGACAGATAAGAAAGAAAATCTTTAAAATAGAGAGAGAAGAGCCGTCAGATTAGTTTCAAATTTGTTAAAAACATTTTATGCATTTTTAGATTCATTTCTCTTTGTTATGAAAACTTATTCATCATTTAGTGATCATGTTTTGCTCCTTATTTTAAGGTTCTGTTCATTCGCTCATTATTTATAGTCTTTAAAGTCATTCATTCTTTTAGATTTAGCTCAACCCAACTCAGGATCTCTCTCTCTATTTGAAAGATTTTCTTTCTTATCTGTCGTTAAATATAAAATTTATTTTTTGTTAACAATTTGTTTGTCTCTCTAAAAATAAGGAGCAAAACATGATCACTAAATGATGAATAAGTTTTCATAACAAAGAGAAATGAATCTAAAAATGCATAAAATGTTTTTAACAAATTTGAAACTAATCTGACGGCTCTTCTCTCTCTCTCTCTCTCTAATATAATATTTTGATTAATTTAATTCATATCATATTTTGTATCTATTTTTGTCGTGAGAATATCATAAACGAGAAAAAATAATATTAAGATTGAAAGATATAAATATAATAGAGTGGAGTCTAAGGGATAAAGGGACTAAAGACATGTCATTTACTGAAAGCATTATTTAATACAAGTTATTAGTATTATATGTGACACAAAACACAGATATCCCACACAACAGTATAAAGATATAACAGTAGTATTCAAACAATAATATAACTAATATTTGATATTTTATTTGAGAGGAAAATGTGTGAAAACAGTGTAAAGAGTGGAGAAGACAATGAAACGAAAGGAAGAGTACATAAAATACATACAAAGCGCTGAAAGGCTGAACATCTCTGCATTTTGGTGGCTCTGGCCGTCTGAAAGACATCGACTCTCTTATCGACTTTAATTTGTTGGATAAGACTGAGGAGTGCTATGAAAAGACAGCATCTCTGGGATCCGTTGCAACACTGGACTAGAATTGGAGATTTGGTTTGACTCTCGTTGAGCACTGTTTCGCATAATTCAATTAAAGCCATCGTTGTCTCCGGTATAATAGCATCACTCCATCCGCACAACTGATAGACTGTCACCCCATGAGCCCCACTGTCCGTCACATACGACGACAGTTTCGATACTTGCAATTCAAGCGCCGATATGTGTCGCGAGCTCTGCTCCGACCGTCTATTCATCAGTTTTATCGAGTAATTACCATACGTTGACTCCGTTGAGGGCCAGTAACAGACATCACTGGCCTCTGACAGCATCACAATCACAGATACGTTCTCTTCGTATACCTAATCGTCATTTGTTTCAAAAAACTCCATTCAATACCACTTGAAAGGTAAGGCTTATTAGCATATTGTGCTTATCATACATACCATACAAACAAAGTCTTTGAGCGTTGACTCGAGAGGGTCTTGGGTTGCAATGAATGTCAGGTATCTGTCGTATCCCTAAATGAGAGAGAAGTGAGTTTCCAATTATATCAACAAAATTAGAGATTAGATGTCGTGTGATATGAGATTCAAAACGTATAATAACTGTAACAAAGTTAAGACACAATTACATTACGCCTGTAATCACACTTTCCTGTAATAACTCAAAGCTCTAACACTTTGCGATAAATCACTGGAAAACTGTTTCTTTAGAGATAACATTTGTAACACAAATATACTTATGATAACTATACATACATATACATACATTTTACATAAACATTAAAATTTTATTATAATATTTAGCTATGAATATGAATGATATAATAATTATTAATACCTGAATATATGAGGCATTGATATACTTTGTAGACTCCTCGCTCACATTTGTGGGCAAAATAACGCGATTTATATCATCTGTTAATATATAAATGAAATATATATTTAGAAAGTTTGTCGTGTTAAGGCAGTACACTTAGTTGTTAATATATTTATTAGTTTACTAAGAATGACATAAATTTTGTGTTCACATAAAATCCCTGATGAGACTGTGTTTATGTTTTGCCAAAACTTGATTATTTTTGGCTTCAATTAGAGTAGAAATTGTTCATCACTTGAATCTAATTTTGGTTGAAATTGGATTTACAATTAATTGACTCACAAAACAAATGTAACCATAAAGAGGTTTCATTTAAATAAATTGGTTGCCTGTGTTAAATACTTAACGAGAATATCAGAAATTGTTAAAATTAAAAAAATAATTTAATATTATTAATAAATATGCATGGTATTAAAATATACACGATTAAAGTATAATTTATATTAAACATGAATATAATGAAAAATTCTATAATTAAATAAAATAACGATAAAAAGCAGAATTGAAAATATTCTCAAACTTAAGACCATTTTATATATTATATAATATAAGAGCAGAAAACGTTGTGATTATTCGATGAGCTATTAGTGTGGAGCCAAATGACTTGATTCCTGTTTCTTATCGTTTCAAGTGATAAGAATTTGTGGTAAAAATAAGTAGAAATCATAATAAATGATATATGAAAACGAGCTAAAAGTCTAATCAATCTTAGAAAGGGGTCAGAGATTATAAAATTCATTTATCACTCAATGAGATAGAGCTATGAGTTTTAATTATTATAAATTACAAAGTAGATCTCACATGACATTGTATTTCTACAAATATAACAAATTAATTATTTCCTAAATATAATCCTAATATTGATTTTATTACATTAACGATTTATTTAATATTTTAATATAAAAGTAGTAAACATATTTGTTTAAATGATATGTTTTTAATATATTTGTAATGTTAATGTTGTAATATATGTTTGAAATATATTTTTAAAAACTCAACATAAAATATACCATTGTCCATCTAAATTTACTACTTCACTATATTATTATATACTATTATTACTTCATTATTAAAGAATAAATTAACATACTGTATATTCAATACATAAATATTCCTAATATTTAGAATTCTTGTAATGTATTAAAATCTTTTATTTACAAAAATAAAAACATGCGATTTATTTGATATGACAACCTTATACTGTATTGACAAACACACTATAATTACTTTTATATAAAATTGTAAATTCTATCTTTAAAAACAAATATAAATATGAAAGATAATGCATAATACAAGTGAGGCTTACACGAGCTTGTATGTGATTTCAATATTTTGAGCATTACGTGAATGTTTTTGTTCAATAAGTTAAAGCATGGATTGATAAAATCCTAACTATGAGTTGATTTTAGATATTTGCAGGGAATATGTTATTTACATAACTTTTAGTTATATTTAGTTGTGTATATTCTGTCAAACTTACGGAATATTTACACTTATCTTTATGCAAATATTGGCTAAACTATGGACTCTTATATCTCTCGACTGGAGAAGTGGAGGAATATTCACAAATTCAGTTCCACTGTTTGGCAGATCAAAGATGTGTCAAAATAGTGGCAGACATTTACACATTTCACTATTAAATTGAATTTGATGTTTGCGTTAAAACTCGGTATCAAAAGGTTATATATTTCATAAGTTGCCAAAAATGTAAGCTTAGAGTGAGAGATGTCCTCTCGATTTGAGATTTTGGTAAAAAATCGATTTTTGTCACAAAAGAGAAAAGAAATTTCTATTCAATACATAGTGTTATAGTCAATGAAAGTCCACGGAATCGCTTCCTGAATGAAAGAACTTCTTAACCAACACTTCTTTTTACAAAATAAAATATAAACACTTTTATAAAGTATATGAAACTTAAATTCTCTTATTTGATAAAAGTGTCAGGGATTTCATTTTGAACCCTTCATATAAAACTCGAAAAATTTAAATTCAAAATATTATAGACACTTGAGTCTAAAGCAATTATGAACTTACATGGGATGACATGATTGAAGCGATTCTTATCGATATTTTCGGGCAATAATCCGCATTCGCATGACTTCGGGTCTCCTAATGTAAACTCCAGTCTCTGCGAGAGTGACAACACATGCGGTGAATAAATATAAAATACGAAATGAGAAAATTAAATATTATATCAGTATTATATGACAAACTCACGTCGAACTGTGTATTGAGTAGATTTACGTTATCTATTTGCTCTTCAATTATCTGTTGATAATAGGTCTCTATTTAAATAGAAATAATTTATACTCAATATAAAGCTTTTAGAAAATTAAAACTTAACTTAATTCAAATATAACAAAGTACTAATAGTAATTAATAATTCATAATTATTAAAAATTACTAATATAAATATTTTTATTATTTACTAAAATGATGACAATATATTAACTATTTCATAGACTTTATTATACTGTATTTAGTATTTTCTCAATATAACCCAGAAAACTCGTTAAAATTTTATGATATATGCGATAATGAATAAAATTTATGAAAGAAATTATGTGTTAAATGAATTCAATTAATAATAAATACTATAGAAATGTCTGGAAAATTGGATTTTCAAACACTCTACAAAATATCGTTACTTATTAATCCAGAGCACAGCAAAAAGTATAATAATTCCTTAATGTCTTATGCTTTAAATTCATAGCTTATTCGTGAGTAGAATTAATCAGAGTTTATATTACGAAAAATAATAGCACTTTTGATAAAATATAACCACAAATATGTATACATGCTTTTATATCTAATGCTAAATACTATAAACATTTCAAGCTTATGATAATTGTTAACAGTTTTCTACTTATAGCGCGTAACAAATATAATTTATATATAATATAAAAGGGATATAATGACCGAAATGCTCGATATCTACTTCGGTGTCACCAAAGATAGCGAACTCGAGAAGCGCTTTATAGATGAAGACGTATTGGTCGGGAGTCTGTATGGATTGGTTTCGTTGGTATCTAATGTTGAGAACACAGTCATAGATATTGACAAATCCTGAGATAATTTCGGGCAATAGTGAGTCGATGGCGATATAAGTGGCCGATCGGCCCAAACCCGAGCAACAGTGGACTACAATGGGTCCTCTGTCTGGACAGTAGTTTTCGTTCACGTGTTTCATGAGCCTTAAGATGCCTGAAGGCAACAGTTCCGATGGCGAGACGTCTTTCCACATCATGTAATGAAATTGGAGGACATCTCTGCTATATTTGTGATCAATGGTCGACAACTGGAACCGACGTATGATATAATCGGAATAAATGCGAACACTTTGGACACTAACAGCAAACTGATTGTCAATGGTTTTGACGCCATCGTCGGACCAATATTGAGCGCATTTCTCTAAACCCTGTTCTTCACAACCGGTTAACATCACAATCACTGATGACTCGCATTCATAAATCATTCGCCAAAAGTCTTTGACAGTCGACTCGATGGGTCCCTCACAACAGATATACAGCTTCTGGTTATAGGCGACGAAATTTGCGTTAATATAGTCGGTGTTTGGCTGGCCGTCGACGAGCGACAGCCTAACCCTCGTCTCATCAAAACACTTAACACTTGGGAATCGATTTTTGGTGACATTTGCTTCCGCTTCGGCGGTCCGACTCGTCCTGTCGTCAAACGATTTCGGCAGTGAATTGAACTCCAATTCAAAGAGTCTGTTATTTTGAGCACTTCTTTCTCTATAGATTTGCGGCAAATTTATCAGATGAATCACCGCAACAGGAATGCAATCCCTGTCCGATGAATGGGCCGACACTTGACTGCCATGGAGTGTCTGTGCCGGCAGAACACCGTTCATAACAATGCCATTCGAGTGAACGTGTTTTGAGCGCTGAATTGAGTTGAGTTTGTCGTGAGTCTGTCGCGAGGAAACGGTATGTCCGCCACTATTGGACTCATTGTTGCGGCGAATTAAGAGCCAAAGTATTAAAATAATAATCAATAAAATAATAGCAATTCCGCTGATAAGGCATAACAGGATAGTAGTAGTGCTCGGATTGCCGATCGATGACAATAAAGGCGACACAGAGTTGGTTGAGGTCGGCATCGACAGCAATGGCGAGGAACTGGTCTGAATTGGGCTCAAGTATGTGCTCTGTTTTCGTAATATCACTCCATTAGCACCCAAAACGTGAATTTCGACAAAACCTGTATAATTGGTTAACTCGGCTAACGGCCCGTCATCTATCAGTTCACTCGTGTTTGACATGAGCTCCTCCTCCGGCCCATTGAGCACCAGATTGTCTTTCCCCGCATCCATACAACTCGTATACTTTCGATCGCCAATAATTACCTCATTATTGAATTCAAGGGATGGTATCTCATCGGCGATATATGCTTGAGGTTTGAATACTTGATGGTAATGTACTTTGGCATAACTGGTTAGGTTGAGCTCCGATGGCTTATACGGGCTTAAGTCCGACAGAGTGTAACCAAACGGCAGTTTAACGACAAACACTCGATAACAGGTGACTAAACCGAACCGTTCGGACACTCGCGGGAAAACCATTTTTAACTCACCGATAGAGCCGGTCGTCTCAAACCTAATACCGGGAAAGTTGTGCTGCAGATGAGGGCCGGTCGAGCACTTGGAGTGGGAGTCGATGGGAGTCCATGTGCCACAACCGCTCAGATTGATGGCACACAACTGAACCGTGTAGTTGGTGTTGGCTTTTAATGGGAGCTATACATTAGAAATTCAAACCAAATTAATATATGCAATAAGAGATTTGATTTGAGAGTTAATGATTCAGAAAAATAAACTATAGATTCAATATTTTGTACATTATTTCTAAAACATCTCCTATTATTAGACTTCATTTGGCACTAAGTATCGAAAAACTCATTCAAAACTCCTTTGAATTCTTCATAAATGATATATTGATTGAAATTCTCTTTTTTCTATTCGTTTGAAAAATTGGATTTTCTTTCTGTTAAGCACAAGGATTGTCACAATTATGACAATAGTGTAGAGCTTTAGAAAACATTGTTCGCGACTGTATTGGTATCACTGGTATTGGAGTGTAAATATAGGTATAGTTTAGCGAATAGAGTATTACTGTATTATTATTATTAACTCTTGAAACTAATGTCATTTTGGAGACTAACAACTAAGAGCTTAATCTATAGGTATTAGTCGTGTATATAATGTGTCATCTCTTTCACGAGCTCCCCATTTGAGCCAAAAATTATCGATTAAACAATTGTCTGATGAGAATAAATAATGATTTCAAACACAGAAAAACTATCTGTAATTCCTATTCATCTCTCTCTCTCTCTCTCTCTCTCTCTCTCTCTCTCATTTTGATGCATACAGACAATGGAGCAATACTTTTATGTTGTTAATTAAGAAGTTAATGTCTCATCGTTTGCAATGTTGACATTCACTTCACATTCACATGTCTTTTACACAAAAACTTCACTCAATTGTGAATTGTAGGCAATTTGGCTCTTATTATCAAAATAATAATAACACTTCAATTTATATTTAGAAACGCTTTGACACCGAAAGACCAGTAATGACACAGACATGACTTGATCCAAAGTACACTCAAACACACAAAAACTATGATTTTGAAAAAGAATTGCTTGTTATATAAAACTCTGTTATATAAACACAGAATCTGTATATATATCACACATTCGTGTTCTCTACAAAACTTAGTTTTTTGCTAAATACCTATCAATCAAGTGATTGACATAAATATTGAATAAATGAATTTCAAACGCATTGAACAGACGTATGAAATATGAGGGCAAATAAGCGACTGAAAACTGGACGAGTTGTAAGAATTGGTGTTTCGGAGGCATAAAACCATTTATTATATTTAAAAGATACGACCAAACTATATATATTTATTAAATATTATGTGATTTATGACTGGTTTCCTATTAATGGCTTCACTAATAATTATTCAAAATATGGAATAAATTATATGTTGTGACAGAACTGTATATCTTTATTACCATGAGATTCAACCATAATATCATATACCATACCATCAACTCAAACACAACTATCAAAATAAGTCTCAATTATTGAGTAAATATTAAACACATTCCTGAACTACAGAAAGCAAATAAAAACTTTTACTTTAAATGATTTGATTATAAGTTTTAAAAAAAAAGTAAATCAAATTAGGAGTCAAATTGAGAGACAATTTAAGTGTAAAGTGAGACTCCAGTAAATTTCTCAACGGACCAATCAATTCAGTTCTTGATTCTTAAAACTGTTGTTCAAAATATTGACTTTTAAAGCAAATGTCTTCCGATATAAAGAGCGGTAAATATCTTCTACAGCAGTGACTGTTGTCATCGAGAATATCAAGAAGTCTTATAGTGTTTGTTGGGTCGAGACGTACGCAAAGTCTTCCGTCGAGATTAAGGAAGAGAAGACAAAATCTCTAAGGATTGCAATACATATGAGGAGAGAGAGAGAGAGAGAGAGAGAGAGAGAGAGAGAGTTGACTCGAGTCTCTAAAACACATCTAATATATGATATACAGAGTTGTGGGAAGACATAGACATTCCATAAGCACACAAACCTTAACATCAAATACTTATTCCATTAAACATTTTCTAATTTTTTATCACAGATTCCAATAACAAAATCGTCGCCCAATATATTAGTATAGTTCACATTCTCCCCTTATTAGACAAAATGCATCTATATTATAAATCTATTGTAAGCCAACTATGGACAAAGTTTATTAGAAATGTCTATCAATCAATATATCATATTTCTAATTTATAAGAAATATAGTGATCTTAATTATATTTAATATACAAATCATTTAACAAATCTTTTATTCTTTAATACTGTAGTATTGCAGACAATTCATTAATATGAATCCTTGTTTTTATTGTCCGGACCAATGATTTAAATAAAACCCATAAGACATACATAACCGTCACAACAAACATAGATCACCAAATTCTTATGCAAATTGTGTGCATTTTGATATATAAATATAAATATATATTTTTGACTCTCGAAGCAATTTTCTATAACATAAAACTGCTGTGCTTTATATGATGTGTAATATAATACTTAAATCTTAAGAGTTTTCTATACATACAAACAACAAAAGAGTGCAACGAATTTGAATTTTATCCAAATGTAAACTTTAAGAAATAAAAAATACTATTGTCTAAGACTTCACTTTAAATTTCTTTATATTTGAAAACGAAAGTGATTTGCGTTTTTCAATACCCATTTCATTAGTAATGTTAACTCAAATTTTCATTTCATTTCATTTAATATTAAACTCGAAAACTTTTAGAGAATAAGTGATAAAACATTTCAAAAAAGGGAAACACATATCAAATGCATTCATTAATATTCTGATCAAAAGCATTAAAAATTACGCTTAAAATAAATGCTAACATAAAGTTTTAATATAAAAATAAAGGATATATTTTTGATAAATTATTTCCTGAATTCATTACTGAAGTTAACAATAAAATATAGCAAAATATAGCAACAAAACGGTGTTTTCAGTGGAAAGGCATTCAGTTCCGCCTCAGGTTTGCCTTCTAATGGAAACATATACTGACGACAAAATTCAGACAAATCTTGCATTTAATGCCACAGATTTTAAAAACACAAGAATCTGTCAAAAGCTTTCAGATTTATAGCAAAATCAAACTATTATTCCGGAGTTTCATACACTAAGTTATATGTGGTGTTAATCTGAGAGCAAATTCGTTAAAAATTCTGCACCAATTATTCTCTATTAAATATTTTCTCACTTTTAGCAAATGATCGCGATTTTTGTTTTCATAAAATATTCAATGTTTTCAAGTATTTGAACGGATGCTCAAAACAAAAGCGTCAAATCTCTAAGTATTAGGAAATAGGAAGCAATCGCTTCGAGATATTATTAAATGATCAGAAAAAACATTTAAAGGATTAGCTCGCATTCGTTATCTCTATTGTGAAGCAATTTGTGTTTTATTTTTATTATTATTTCGCTCTCTTATGGTATCGATTCAGTGAAATAAATGGTTGTTTTAATGGATTATAAGTTAGTCGGAGGAGAATTTTATAGTCTTTAAGAGATTTATTTAAAAGTCAATAAAGATTTATAGCAATAAATTATACATTTATTTCTAATGAAAATTCACATAAATCGATTTCGAAAAAGTTTTCAAAACAATTTTATAGAAATAATAAAAATTTTGAGAAAATAGTTTGACAATTATTTATGGATTTATATTAAAAATTAAAATATTTTTAACCAATATGATTTATACCAATAAAAAGATTTTTATATAGAAATAGATTTCTCAAATTGTTTTTAAGCCATAAATAAATATTTGAGTCAAAATTGATTTGTATTTTCAGTCATATTTCTGTTTTAATTCATTTTCCATAATGTTTTGTGGAAACGACTTTCGCTCCAAATATTTTGATGAATAGACTCACGTCTAATGTCCAGAAATATTTCCAGACATTAAAGCATTCATTTTTATCGATATTAAGTGATCTTTTTATTTCCCAAACATAAATCAAAATGCGATTTTAAAAAAGCATTTTAAAAATGCAATTTCAACTTTAATTTGATTTTCAAATAAGCGCACTTAAAAACCAACAAAAATAAGGTTTGCTTATAATTCAAAAATTGATTTCTACCTGAATTTGATGAGTAGTATTGCTGTGAATGCGATGCCATTCCACGATATGGTCGGTCACTATCTGGTCATTACTGTTGCGATATCTGGCACTCCCGACGACCGTCACATTATAGCCAACAACAGTCCCGCGAGTGTTAGAGCTTTGTGTCCACGAAATGTTTGCAAAGTTTGCGGACCGCCTGCCGTCGAAAGCGCAGACCACTCGCAGGTTTAGGGGCGCCTCTGAGTTACCATCGCTTGTCTGCGCCGACAACTGCGGCTCCGACCACTTACCACAACCCAGGTATGAACACGCCCTCACCTTTCATACGTATGTATCATATATTAGTTTAAACATATAATGATGCATAAAATTAATTTAATTAATTATAATAAGTAATTCATAAGAATGAAGACCTGAAACGAGTATTTGGTGGCCGGTTCGAGGCCTACGAATATATACATGTAGTTCCGTCTGATCTCGTGCTGAGTGTCCTTCACAATCATAGTCTCCCCGATGACAGAGCTCTGCTCCACATTCCTTAACTCCATCCTATACTCTGAGATGAGGGCCCCGTTGTCGTGGGGTCTCTTCCAACCGATCAAAAGTGTCTCATTAGTAGCGGCCAACACTTTCATGTCTAATATCTGGTTGGGAACGTCCGATGGCATCGTTCCGTTAATTTGGGTCCAATCCGATTGACCTATAATTGCAATGAAAATTCATATTAAACGGCTATATTATGGCTATATATATATAAATTATTTTTATAAATGTATGAATGTGTTATATAAGTGAAAAGAAATATTCCCAAAACCATTTAAGTAATGTACAAAACTTTATTCAATATGAATCAGTCATCTAAATGTGCCTCGTCAATCATTAAAATGTCAAATATTAAAATTGTTATTATTTATTTCCATTGTATTCACTCTATTATCTTAAGTTTATATATTGATAAAATGATTTCAATATGAAAATAGCATTACTTTGAGTCCAACATCTCATTCATCTCTAAC